TTTTTTTTTTTTTTTTTTTTTGCCAAGCTTAATCAAGAAAGAGGGAAGGGAGTTGCGTGTCCCTTCACTTTGTAGGATCGGATCCTGTCCACCCTGTTTCCGAATGCTCTCAACAGTTACCCGACCGCCTGTTTCAAGGGCTTCCCTGTTGCTCAGAATGCCACCTGGACACTTCTGGAAGGAAACTATCAGGGAGATAAGCTTCCCCTCCTCCCGGGCTGTGTACAGGTCCCCACTCAATCCAGCCCAGGGCAGAGTCCAAACGGCGAGGGACAGATGCAGACAGGGTCAAAGGGACCCCAAGAGTCCAGCACATCTGGGAAAGAGAAAAAGTGCTGTGGCATCCTGCAGCTGGGGCGCACGCCAGCGCGCCCCCTTTCCTCTGGGAGGACCCCCGGTCCCCGTTCGTCCCCAAGCTCCCAGCCCGCCTCCGGGAGACCCACGGAGAGGAAAAACGTGCGGGGAACCCCCAGCAGCTCCAAACGCCCAGGCGCTCCCCGCGAGCCTCAGATCCGACCCAACCCTAGGACTCGCGCCGCCGGCCCGCGAGGAAACCCCCACAGCCCGCGCCCCGGGCAGGCTGGAGGGTGGGGGCGGCTGGCCAGGCAGGGCGCCCAGGCCCGGGCTCCGGGAGCGGCCCGGCGGGCAGGGGAGACCGGGCCCGCAGGCCGGGTTTGGGGGTGTCCAGGCCGGGGCGGAGGGCCCGGGCGGTGAGCCCCTCTGTGGGAACAAGGAGTCGGGGGGCGGCGCGGGCCTGGCGCCCTTCGCTGGGAGGCCGACTCCGGAGCGGCCCGGGCGGCCTGGGTCGGGGCCGGGGGAGGGGCCCGCAGGCCGCACCTGGTCGGCGAAGTCCTCAGCCGTGCCCATCAGGTCGTTCTGGCCCATGGCGACGGCGGAAGGCTCGGCTCGGCTCGGCTCGCTCGCTCGCTGGCCCTCGCCCGTCGGCGCCCGCGCCCGCTGCGGCCTCCACAGGAAGTGCCCGGCGGCCGGCCTCGCTCCGCGTCGGCTGCGGCTCCAGCGCCTGCCACGTAGGCCAAGCCTTAAAGGGGCCGCGCACCGCCCGGGTCCGCCCCGGCGCGTCTTAAAGGGGCCATGCACCGTCCCCAGCCTCCCGACCGGTCCGCTCGAAGCCACCCACGCCGCGCTCGACGCCACGCCTCTCACGCTGGAGGCCCCGCCCACAGCGCGCAGGCCCTGCGGCACCTCCCGGCCCGGCGGAACGCGTCCCCTTTAAGGGGGCAGGCCTGGGGGGGGGTCTGGGGCCAGCGCGCGGGAGGGACGCTTGGATGCCTCGAGGACGCAGTTCGGGCGGGGAGGGTCCCGCGGGTCCCACTGACCCACACGGGGTAGGGTCAGGGGTGGACGCTCGTCCGTACGCGGTAGCTACTGAACATGCTTGGGCCAGAGTCCGATGGCTGGCGCCCCACGCAGGGGGAGCGAGGCCCAGGGTACCCCGGAGAGCCCATGGACAAGTACCAGGTGCCGAGTGTTCCCTGCGGGGAGGCGGGGGCTCCGTGGGGTAACGGTCGCCAACCCTGGAGCTGCGGCCGGCGGTTCCGACCGAGGGCGGCGGGGGACCCGCGCCCTAGTCAGTGTTGGCCTCCAGCTCCTAGGTTGAACCCGGGGGGCCTCCAACGGTGACCTCCTGGGTGCCCTTTGCCACTCAGTTTCCCCCTTTGTGAATTGACTAAGGATTCTCCAGCCCTGGCTGAGTATTTGAGGGCGTGGGGCAGCTCCTCTATCCTTTGTGCCCGGGGTCTGGGCGCTTGGGTCCACCGAGGCAGGACCCCCGGGAACATCCCAAGTACGTAATTGGGAGCCCCCAGTCCCCTAAAAACACCCCTGCAGTGTGGGTCTTTGAAAATATTTGAGACCTAAAAAATTTACAAAACACAAAAGGAAAGCTGCAAAATAAAAGTGAATGTTTAATTAAATGCTTCTATACATGATATGTAAACTTTATTAAATGTTAGATTCAGCATTTGTGAAAACCGCATTCACTTGGAAACAGTTTGCGGATTAGATTTTTGTCACTTGGGAAGAATTGTCTTTGTGTGAGAGGACTATAGGGCGTTGCCAGCAGTGACGCAGATGAGCTTCCGGTGGCCAGATAATTTTTTAAATAAAGTTACTTTTCAGAGAAAAAAAAAAAATAGACCTTTCAGGAATATACCTGCTTTTGGAAAAAAAATAGACTTGTTCTAAGATATGGGTCCATTTTACTGTTTAACTTGCTGCCTAAGCCTGAACGCTCTCACACCAGCTCTGCCCTCAGCCCCCTGTGGCTTAGAACAGCAGTCCCTGGCCAGGCTCGGTGGCTCACGCCTGTAATCCCAGCACTTTGGGAGGCCATGGCGGGCGGATCACCTGAGGTTGGGAGTTCGAGACCAGCCTGACCAACGTGGAGAAGCCCCGTCTCTACTGAAAATACAAAATTAGCCGGGCGTAGTGGCGCATGTCTGTAATCCCAGCTACTTGGGTGGCTGAGGCAGGAGAATTGCTTGAACCCAGGAGGCAGAGGTTGTGGTGAGCCAAGATAGCACCATTGCACTCCAGCCTGGGCCACAAGAGCAAAACTCTGTCTCAGAAACAAAACACAACAAAACAAAACAAAAAAACCAGCAGTCCCCAACCTTTTTGGCACGAGGGACCGGTTTTGTGGAAGACAATTTTTCCACAGACGGAGGCGGGAGGATGGTTTCGGGATGATTCAAGCACATTACACTTAGTGTGCAGTTCATTTCTATTATTATATCGTAATACATAATGAAATAATTACACAACTCACCATCATGTAGAATCAGTGGGAGCCCTGAGCTTGTTTTCTTGCAACTAGACGATCCTCTCTGGGGATGATAGGAGACAGTGACAGATCATCAGGCATTTGATTCTCATAAGGAGTGTGCAACCTGGATCCCTCACGTGCACTGTTCACAATAGGGTTCACACTCCTATGAGAATCTAACGCTGCTGCTGGGCTGACAGGAGGCGGAGCTTGCGTGGTAATGCGAGCCATGGGGAGCGGCTGTATATATAGATGAAGCTTTGCTCCATTGCCTGCTGCTCACCTCCTGCTATGCAGCCTGGTTCCTAAACAGGTTACAGACTAGGTTGGGGACCCCAGCTTAGAATATCCAGCAGGCTGCTCACAAGGCTGGATTACAGACTCCTAAATCTTTTATAGGCTCCGAGAGTCCCTAGGCTCAGGCTTCCATCCTCATATCTCCTCCTCTGGATCCTGCCCTCCCTCCCCCAATCCTCGGATGCATGTTAGCCTCCAGCAATCTCCCGCCCGGTCCCCTGCCCCATAGTACTTGGTCTCTGCACAGAGTTCTGACTTGGTGGCCATCTCTCTGCAAATTTGTCTCAAATCACAGGCTCTAAGGTCAGACCCTCAGAGTTACCCCAGGCAGTGTCCTGCTTTCTAGTGACATAGCCTCAGGCAAGGACCTAGCTCCTTGTGCCTCAGTTTTCCCCAATGTAAACACAGAGATATCAATGGTGTCCACTGCATAGGGTGGCTGTGAGGTGCTTGGCACCATGCCAGGCACACAATGGCTTCCTGATTGTACCAGCCACAAGACTGGTTACTTTCTTGTTTGAAGCCAGTTTGGAGGTGGATGCTGGAAGCTGAGGTCGCACGGGTCTACAGAGAGTGAATAAGCCCTTTTCCTCTGGGAGGTTCTTGCTCTTGAGTGCCCAGCCAGTCCTCATTGCAGTTTGGGGGAGGGATACAGGGTTGTAGAAGAAAGAGCTCCAGAATCGGCCCCAAAGAGGTGAGATCAGAGTCCTGCCATTGAAAGGCTTCTTGCCCTCCTTGGGCCGTTTCCTCTACTGCAAGATGGGGTGGAGCCACTTGCTCTGCCAGCCTGACAGGGGAGTTACCGGGACCGGAAAAGGAGCTGGAGCTGGGCTTCTGGAAAGGGATAAGTTGTGTGCATTTCCTGAAAGCTTTTCTCTTCCTTGCTGGTAGGTTTTGTATCAGCTGAATCCTGGGGCCTTGGGGGTGAACCTGGTGGTGGAGGAAATAGAAACCAAAGTCAAGCGTGTGATAAAGCAGGTAAGAGGCCAAGCCTGTGCATCCCACGCCAGGTGGTTCTGTGGCTGTGATTTTCTCCAACACAAGCTCTTCCCATGTTGGAGAAGCTTCCTGATGCGGCAGCTAGATTCCTCGCTGCCAGCACTCCCAGAGACAAATCTGGTTGGGGTAGACGTGGGGGTGCGTGAAGCTCTGTCACCTTGATGGGGAAGCAATGCTAATTTTTACTCCATCACCACCACCTCCTGCCATTTACACATCACGTGCTGTATGCCAGGCACCGACTCACTTCATCTCCCGTCAACCCTGTAAAGCAGAAACAATGACCCTGTTTATAGGCAAAGACAGTGAGGCTCAAGGCAGCGCCAGACTAGCCAAGGTCACACAATTTCCCAGAGGATTTGAATTCAGGCCACCTCATTGGGGGACACCGTGCTACCCAGTGCTGGGTCACCAGTTTTACCAAAAGGGAGCCAAGCCCAGAGAGGATGGGGACTGGCTCAAGGTCACACAGGGCTAAGGCCACACACCAGGCCCTGAGCCCTTCCACCGCACTCCTCACCAGGGCTAGCAGGGCATAGGGAGGTGTAGGCCTGCAGGACAGCCCTTTGTGTGTCCGAGACAGGGAGGTCCAGATCAACAGAGGGACTAGGGTGAGAGAGCTGCTGCAAGAGTCCCTGGCACGCCCTCCTCTCTGTGGTGGTGGCAGGGACCCAGCAGGTTTAAGGCTGGCCGCGCAGCAGGAGTCTTGTCAGAAGCCGCTCCTGGGCCAGGCCTCAGTCTGTGCAGCTCCGCAGCCTCACCCTGAATGGTTGGGCCTGGAGTCCTTGCCCCTGCCCTGCTCCCTTGCTGGCTGTCTGTGGGGTTGGCCCCCTTGTCTCACAAGCCACTGAGGCAGAGTGGCTGACTGCTCTCTGAGCAATTAAGGAGCTTTGTGTGTGTGTGTGTGTGTGTTTTTTTTTTTCGGAGATAGAGTCTTGCTCTGTCGCCCAGGCTGGAGCACAGTGGTGCAATCTCAGCTCACTGCAACCTCT